ATAACCTTCTAATTCACGTTGTGCTGACTAACACGGACAAATTCGTAATAGTGAATAAACAATTAGCTCTCGAGGAGAAATCTGTTATTAAACAAAATCGTATTATATGGAATGAAAAATCAGGCCACCAATGGACTAAGGAAGTAACAAAAAAGTGACAGCACTGGCTTAGGAACATGGAAGAAGATTAAGCTGACCAAATGTAAACGTTTATATTTGATCTTAGTCAAGCATTTTATGAACCACAGAAACAAACACATACTTTAAAGGTGCAATTCCCTCAGCCAGTGCCTACCCGAAGAGGAGCTATTTTATCCTATGTTGTCCACTATGGAAATTTAGAGGACTAGCTCTGATCCAGATGTCTGCATTATAAACCTCAAAACGTGGGCACAATGACAGACTGTGCGAGCGATGGAGACTAAAATGCTGCACATTTATTCTTTTTGGCTAAATCCCTCCACCATCAAAATGCTGTCTGGCACAGATGACAGGCAAACGAATCACTAAGAGGATAGATCTTGCCGTCCCATCAACGGCTCCACTGCCAAAAGACTCGAGATTCAAGCTTGTATTTCCCACTTCATTGCACATATACCAAGAGATACACTGCCTAAGTGCTCACAAAGTAGAACAAGAAAAAAGATACATCACCCCCCACCCAGTGATGGATATTGTTAATTTGAAGCTTTTTCCTGGGAAATTATAAAAGAATAATCACAAGCGTAGAAGGAGATTAGGCTTGCATGAAGAAAGCAGAGACGTCCCCATCCTGACTTCAATTCAGAATGTCTCTTTTTGAGACAAAGCACACAAAGGACATGGCAGTCAAGAGGAGATCACAGAGCTAATTATTTGGAAAAAATAATTTCAGAGTCTTCCAATTTTTTCATTTTGAAAATGTGACCAACTCTCAAGGAAAATACAGAAAGTGCATGCATCGGAGAAATGAAGGCAGAGGTAGGTAGATCAGCTTACTGCCTGGACCAGGAGCACTGCACAAACTGTCAACAGGGGGGGAAAAAAAAAAATCATACTCTGTTTCTGCCCCATTATCAGCTGCTTTTCCCTTAGAAAAATCTCAACGCTTTATAGTCATAAAAATTTCACAAAGAGTAATTGTAAGAAAAAAAGATATTAAATTAATAGAGCATCAGCCAGGACAATCACAGTCTATTAAGATAAACTTACTCTGTGGATATCTAGATATATTTTCTCTGTATGTCCATTTAAATGAATTATTTGCACTGTACAGGCTCTTAATCTTCTAAAAGACACAGGAAAATAAAATATAACATTGTCACAGCATAATGGTCCCTCCTGCCTGACAGACATTAGGGGAGAAAAAAGTTACTGAATAATGAACGTTGAGATGACATTACCAAGCTTATTTTCAAAGTGGGAGGCAATTAGACTATGAAAATGTTCTCTTCCATTATTTTTGTTGTACCAGAGGAAGATAACATAAATAAATAGGAAGATGGACGGTTATTGTTGATGCACAGTGACAGCTACTCAGTGTGTTACACTGAAGAACAATGTTCTATCAGCCCAGATTTTATACAGTGACAGGCAAATCTAACAATCAGGTAGCCTAAAAATCTGAAGTACAGTTTCAAGTTGTTTGGATCTATTTTTTAATTTAAGGAGTTGTGGTGGAACTAGAATAAACTTCATCTGTTGTTTAATAAAACAAACCATTTATTAGTTTTACAGGATTTAAGTTGATAAACTGTCAAAACCTTTTCACTTGTCCCTGATGCTATAGATACTCAAGCTGAAGTAGCACCACTTTTCCTCATCTTTAGAGGTGCAGAAGTCACTCATTTTAGAAGGTTTGATTTTGACTTGACTTCTTCTGAGGTCAATATATAACATGGATAAAAAATTACCACTTAACCTTATGATAGCAATTTTCATAAGTGTTCAACTCCAATTCCCAAACTTTAAAGAGGGCAGTTTAGCCTAACATCCAAACATGAACTATTCTGAGCACTTTGCAAATCTCACTTAGATATCTGGAGAAGAAATTCTCTTGAAAACCTGTTCTTACATGCAGTCAGGATCTCCCTCCTTGGAGATAGTTAAAAAGAGTCTGATGTGGCCCTGCTTGAGCAGGTGGGTCAGACCAGTTGAGCAGAGGTGCCTTCCAGCCTCAGCCATTCTGCCACACTGAATTGCTATGTAACAACCACGCCAGGTCTTCCTTCGTCAATCCTACGGGACGTCTGTTGCCACAATGGCCCTCTACTTTAACTCTTACAAAGAGCAGTACAGACAAAGCTTTCAACTTGCTCACCTAACCTGTACCTGAACGTTAGGGGCTTAACAAATCAGTGCTTCTGAAGCAAATCTGGGTTTTCGGTGCACTCGGGAGAGAAGCCTTTTCCTCAGAAGACTCAAGACAAATGCTGCCTTCTTGAGTTAGGTAGCAAATCATTAATGAGTGATTGTTTTTGCTATCAGTTCTGCATTATGTCCTGTCCAAAGGAATGGGCAGAACCAATCCTAGCGACTGTCTGGATGTTGGGAGATTTCTGAAGTGTTTTAGCTTATTTTGCATTAATAGTGCATGTGTGGAAACATTCACCTTAGGCTCAGCAAGCTCACGGTCCTACCAGATGTGAATATATCCAGAAAATATTAAATAGGAAATATATCAAACAAAATTAAAACACAAAACATCATTACACCCAATTCTATATTGCTAATATTTAAAATGTAACCTTAGCAGAAATGAGATGATCTTGCGTACTGAAGTTATACATAGCCTACATCTAGCAAGCTATTTCCACACTTGCAGTGCACAATTCTGTCACAGTCACTGCAGCAGAACTCCGTAAAACACACCTGTTTAATAGGATGCCACTTATCCGCAAATACACTTTACAATAACAGATTTTCAACTATCGCAAATTGATTTTGTTTCATTTCTTCCACATGTCATTGTGCCACAGAGGATAACTCTTCTGATATTAATAGTAATGAAGATTCATTGCATCTGACAGCCCTAACAACATGTTTAATAGAACATTTTAACTTTAAGTAGGTGAGGAATCAGAAGGGAACACTTTTTCAGATTCCACTGTTTCAGAACACAGTTCTCTATAAATGAAATTATCCTACTTAAAAGTTATTTCCACTTTGATATTATTTCTATTTGACAGTTTTACTTTGGGAAGATAATATTCTGACATACTGACACTTTTTCTCCCAAAACAACACACTTCATCCTTTTGTATCTGCTTTAATCAAATTTGTCTCAATAGCCTCCTGTTTCTGGTAAGTAATTCTGGCAATTAATCATCCTGACTTATCCCAAAACACCAATCCTAAGGTGTCACTCACAAAGAGAAACAAAGGAAAGCACACTGTTTCAAACCGCTACTGCACACAACAGCAAGACACTTATTCAGGCTTTAGTTTACACACTTTCTAACCAGAAACTGCTGCTTCTACGGAACAACAGGAGTTTTGCCAGTGATGTGAGTCAGAACTTCTTTCTTTCCTGCAGTTTGAGTTTGCACTGAGGAGGTCCTCAAAGCATGTTCACCCACCTAACTCAAATGCTGCCATCATGTTCGACACAGGAACTCCACTTACTGAGTTTTACCTTCATTCCATCTCTCTCCCATCCAATTTGTTGCATAAGGAAAACACCTGCTTACTGAGGAGGTATGCGTTTTGGAAAAGGCATGTGTGTTGCAATTTTAAAGCAAATTTAACTGTAACTACAACTTCAAACCTGTTGCTTAAGGAAGCAATATATGCAGGTTTCCTGCAGCTGACCAGTATATTAACAAATATACTTGAAAAAAACCCCAAAACCTAGTTAAAATTGAAACAAGAATGACCATCAACTGCATGCAGTGCTGTCATTGCCCTTCCTTCTCCCAGTTCCTCTTTTCATTATGAAAGTTCCAACAAAACATACTCCCTTATTTATAGCACAAATAGGGTGACAACAGGCATCTTACAGATTTTTAGCTTCTAGACCAAATACCAGCTTTGCAAGGTGAGCCCCTACAACACGCTTTGTAACAGCAAGAAATAATGCTACTCCTACCGACCCATAACTACCACCTCACTTTAAAAGCACAATGGAGAGTGAAAAATGACCTTCAAGAACATACAGCTTAAAGCTAAAATGACTTGACAATTGCCATTTAGCGACAGAACAAGCTTGTAATACCAGTATTAACATAAACCTTGCTTGCAAGCGAGAGCCATAAAACAGAGGTCAGAAAGGTGAAATGCTGCAACCAACTCCTGACATCTGAAGCCTATTTCAAACAGCCAATAATCCAGTCCATTCTTCAAGATTTATGTTGACATTTATTTTTGTTCACCACATTTACATCCTGCTTGTAGGACTAGCAACACGCACATTACAGGTGAATAGCTCTTGGGTCCTATGGGTTTTCAAATGCCACTGAAGCACGTGCTTAGACAGAAGCTAACATCAAACTAGAGAGTTGAGTACTTTGCAGTCACGTTTAGAATTGTGCGTGCTGAGTTTTGTGTGATGTGTATGAAAGCACTACCACTCTTACCCCCTTTTCTTTATCAGTTGCTTAACAGTTGTCTTCAATTTATTTTTGGGAGACTATTTTTCATGCATAGTAAGGGGAAGAGAATTAAAAGGTTTTATTCATTCCCATTTATGGAACTTAGCTCAGCAGGGACTTGCGTGTCACTTGGGAGGAAACAAGTGATAGCAACCACTGAGCAGCCTTATCTGACTACCTCCTCTAGTACAGGTACAAGCGACCCTGGCACAGACTCTCCTGCAGCCTGGAAGGTTGCAGGAACTGCTACACCTGGAATCAGTGACTACTCAAAGCCAGACAGATCAGTTTCTCCCTCAAGGCCCAAACAGTTTGAATTGGTACTTACTGATATGTGTCCTTCGCGAGTTCCAACTTATTAATAACTATTCACTTTAATCTTAAAAAAAAGGCACTTTGCTGTAACAACCATTAGTGGTACACATACTTTACCTGTACGTCGTTGGTGTTCATTCTTGTTCCCTCCTTCCCAACGAAGATGTCATCTATGTCAACCAGAATGTACCTATCCAAGGACAGTCTGAGCTTCTTTCCAGACAGGAAAGAGATGGCATCTATGAAAATCAGCTTGTGCAGCCAAAAATTCAAGTTATTGCCGAAAAGGACTCGTTGAATCCCATCGTGGAGCCCCAGGTCATGAATTACTGTGGCATGGAGAGCACTTTTAGCAGGAGGTGGTAAATGGTTTTCTGGTGTCTTTACTTTTGCAAATATCACTGGTTGATAAGCTGTATGATTAATCTGGAAAACTGCCCAGTCATTTCCAAGCAAGGGACCTTTCTCAAGCTTAGAAGATTTAGTCACATGGAGCAGTGGGGAATGAGGGTTAATGCAACAGTCCTTAACACCCAGATTGCTGTGGACATGGAAAGGAAAGCCCTTCAACTGAAAGCTCTGCAAGCTGTTCTCATTGCCTTTGTGAAATCCAATAACACCTACACCATATTCTATACAGTACTTATCTAAAAGGCCTCTGTTCCAAGAGTCCATATTCACATACTTTAGAATATTTTCATATACTATGAGAGCATATTTGCCCTTATTTTTGTCTATAAGCACTGGGAGGTCACCTTTCCCAGGTGCAATCTCAATGTGAAACTGAAATCTGCTTGATTCTAAAATGGTTATTATATCTTGGCCTAATGTTGAGTACTGACTTTCCACAAACACCAGCACTACAAGATCTGTCCTCAGAGGATCAATAGGCTTCATGGTCTTCATCTCCATCAGCTTGTATGGCAACAGTTGAAGATCACCACATTCCACTTCTGAAGAGATCTCAGAAAGTTCATTTTCCTGTTTGTAGCCATTATACAAGTAGTACGCAGAAATAACTATGCTCACCATACAAAAAGTGGCCAGCAAAATAACTGTTCTTTGAAAATGTCTGTGAAGTTTCATGATAAAACTCATGTTGTTTACTTGCCTTAGATTGTTCTCGACAGCAGCATTAAAAACAAACACAGATTCTCAACAACTTGTTCCAGTCCTCTGAAATATTTATGTCACCATTGCAGCGCACACATCTATCTTCCACAAAGCTTTACAGAAGGTACAGTCTGGAAGAAAAGAAAATCATACATTTAATTGAGGCATCACACTTGTGAAGTATCATCACACTTAGACTAAACATGAGCAAAGAAATCGCTGCCAAACAGAGGTTTGGAAACAAACAGCTCAAAACTTTGAGAGTGTCTTTTTGAAATTTTGTGCTGGTAGCTTTATTTCTTCCTGTTCCCACTACTTGCCACGTGCATTTTCATGTCTTTAAATTGCACAGGCTCCTTACCCCAGAGGACCAAGTAAAAGGAGGTACTCACAGGAGGCACTGAAAAGCACGACACAACAACAAAAAACTTAGTGTTTTTCTGAATTTTTTTTTACCCACAGATAAATTAACACCGAATAGACAACTGCTGAAAACCTAAACATTGAAGAAAATTTATAACCTTCCTCCTTCTACCCCAAGAAGCTGACGGAACATCAGTCTACATGATTAAATGGATTCTGTCTTATATTCATTTTTGAAGAACCAGGAAGTTCTTAACAAAACATGAACATTTTAACTCTGCTGAATACACACACACTGATATAGCCTACATTACATGTACAATAGCAGTATTTTTAAAACAAAACTATACTTTTTCCTGCAACACCAGAAGTAATCAAATAGCATTTTACTGGACTACGTACTCTTTTGCCAATTGTTGGACGCACTCTGTATTTCCTTGTATTAAAAAAAAGGATAAAATAATCCAGCTCTAAAATCTGAGAAAAGGGAGTAATAAATCAAAAGCTAACTTAAGAGGCAGATCACCTAAGGATATACTTAGGCTTTAACGCGTGCCTAAGGAAAGCAGTCATTTTTCAAGCCAACAGTACAATTGCTTTCAAAAGTTTCTTGTAAAACAACTGAACTATGTGACAAGCATAAAATAATTAAGTCCATAAGTTATAAAGGAAGGTTAAAAGCAGATTTTGACAAATATTAAGGGTATGAAGATCTAGAACATGTTATTGTAACTCCAGAGTGTTGTACACACCCATTCCTATCTGTAAATGGAACTAGGGTAAACTACGTGCGTAACATTAACATGGTCATTTCTCGACTGAGTGCTTAATCCTTCCATGCTTATGTTTGTTTGTTTTTAAGTAAAGTAGGGCTTAAAAACTGAATACCAAGAAGCTCCAGAAGTATAACCAATATCAACTATGAACTTTTTTGTATAGATTGACAGAAACAAATTTTCTTGAGACATCATAGCAAATGATACCTACACAAGCCTTGTCCCATGTTTTCTACTTTCTAAGGTTTACTGGGTTTTTGTTAGAAATACATATACAAGAAATATGGTCAGCTTCTGAACAAAAGAAATTGAAGTGTATAAAGGTTAACTGCATATTAACAAAGGGGGAGAGCGGAGCAGAAGTTGTAAAAAAAACCCAACAAACAAACAACAGACAAAACCAAACAACACATCAGGTACTTGGGCCACTTAGCCACTTGACAAGAGCTCCTCATCCTACGTTGTAAAGAAGGCAACCTTTCACTTCATGTTTTCACAAACTTTAAAACATACAATGTACTTAACAGCACCTATGCAACTTCCACAACTCCAATTAAATCCCAGAGATTGATCCTCCCAGTGCCAGGTAAATGATGAGCACACAGTAAAAATAAATGAGTAGGAAATGAGATAAGGGGAAAGAGAGAAGCTACATGGCATCCTATTTATGAAACCAGCAAAATTAAGCACCAAGAGTAAGCATACGTAAGCTGTCTCATTCATAATTAAGATTCCCTTTAAACCTGCATCTCACCAGACAAGCCCGCTTTCTGGATAGATTCTACTCTTCACCTTCTACTCAGGGATACCAGTATATTAACCCCTTCTGTTCTGGGTGGACTTATACCCAGCCTTGAACCTTACCTGCAGCTGAACAAAGACTTGCACATAGCTTTTTAACAAGAGACGTGCCTTTCAGCTGGGCATACAGGCTCATTAATCAGTGTTAGATAATAACATAATACCAGTTTCTCCATTTCTAGAGGCATGTATCTGAAAAGAAGTTGAAGAACTCAAAGACCAAATGCCAATCTGAAAGTACCTTCAGAAGAACTCAAAGAATGTTTTTAAGTACGGAGAAGTCTGATCCTTGTCACAGTAGCTTCCAAAATACCAGCTTAGATAGCAGAAAAGAGGTATTACATGGTAAGAAGTCAGGTGACAAAGAAGGAGCTCCATCCTGAAAGAGTAAAACCAGAGAGATGTTTCCAGATTGATGGTTTTCCATTACACACAAAGGATTCTCTTAATTTTCTATTTCCGGTGCAGCTGTCTGAATGCCAAGAAACTCATCGTTTCAGTGGCTAAAATTGATACTTACTGTAGAAAAGCTGCACACATGCCTACGTATCTTCAATCACCACATACCTGGCTGGCTAACTTCACACAGAGCTGAAGCTCGGTTTACACAGAGAAGAGATGCGAGCCCGCAAAGCAAACTCTTGCTGACACAAGTACAACGAAACAGCTTCGAGTGACAGTCATCCACCACACAATCAACAAGCACAACACTTGTCTGCTGCTTTTAGCCCTAAGCTCCTCTAACGTGGCCCTAAAATACCCCTATTGTTATGACAGAAACCCCCGAAGCCCTGCTGGTAGGAAGTTCTCGGGAGCATGACTTAGTTTCTTGTTTACCGGCCTATGCTGCTGACCACACAGTCACCTGAACTCGAGAATCGGCCTGGAGCAGGAAAAGTGTACAGCAACTTAGGCTCATGGCAATAAAGGGCTGATTAGACAGTCGTCTGAATGAGGTATTACAGAAGGGTTTCAACCCAAGGCTGCTGAAGTAAGCAGCAGCAGCACTTGAAACATTTGCAGCAAGGACAAGGTTACCTAATGCCATTCCACGAAGTGGAAAATCTGGAGACAGCCCAGAAACCTGTATTTTCTTCAAGAAAACCACTGTCATTTTATCCTTAGCTCCTAATTGCAGGTACCTCCTGGGGCTAGAGAGTGCAGCTGTGCGGAGGAGTGGATGGAAATGCCAAGACAGATGCGAGGTTTGACTCTGAGGAATTCTCCGAGACCCAGCAGGACGCAGACAGACTTGGCATCCTCACCGCTGAGGACAGGAAGGAAGGGGAACAGAACAGAATAAGGTGCGAGTTTTAAATGCACCTTAAATTCTCTTGAATCAGCTCAATGCTTACGTAGTTTTTGCTTAGATAAAGACTGTTGTGCATGGCAAGAGTTCAAAAGAACACAGAAGGAAAAAGAAATCCCAAAACCCAAAGAGAAAATACACTTAATAATCTCAAAATAGTTTCAAAGCCTTGACAAGGCACAGTTGCTTCCCTAGGGGAGCAGCAGCACTTTACCCTAAGCAACAGTACTTGCTAAAGACTCCACTAGTATCTTACAGTACCATGCTGAAATAACTCATCATGCATGGAACTTGATTATGGTACAGAGATCTTTGGGGTGCATCCCCACCACCACACCCTGGGACCTATCAAGAGTGTATCAACAGTGGGTAAGCCGTCAGAAGCAGCATTTCGGAACAGAACAGTAGTTATGGAGTGTTACTTTCATGACAAAAGAATGCAGTATTTTACAAAAGAATGAAGAAGTCACGATAGCTTGAACTGCAACAGAAAAAAAATCCAGCTCTAAGAAAAAGCCTTATACAAAAAGAAAAATAATCAAAGACACTAGAAAGTCTTCATGCTGGTTCAAGGTTGTTAGAATTGTTTCAGTGAAAAACCATGAAAAAGACCCACAGATGATATCAGCAGTCTTAGCTCACTGATTTCAATGGAGTCACGTGGAGTTCAGCGAAAGGAGGGTATGGTCCCACCTGTATCTCAGAACACTCAAAAATGGGTGTTAGACATTATACAAATCCAACATTGAAGTAAGTTTTACCTATAAATATTTTTAATGGTATTTTTCCACCATCTGAGGCAATGAAGTCTGCCTCGCTGTTCTTTATCCAGAACCTTATTATTTTAGAAGAATCTGCATCTGATCTACATTTTCATGCCACCATCTGAAAATTCAGACCAGAACCTTTTACCTGAGTTGTTCCAAGAACGAGGTGTCAAAATGCTTCCATAATGTGAAAATTAGCCTCTTCGAGTATTTAGAATTTTGTTTCTAACCTGTGGATTCACTATGGAGATGATCTTCCTAAGAGAAAGCTGAGTCATGGAAATAAGTTTGCATTTTATTCTGAATACAGCAAGGCTCGTTACCATTCTCACCTACTGTAGAAATGATTTCTGCAGCCCAGGACTAGTTCATAGGAAAACCTTCTGGGTACAGGAAATAGGTATCATCCTATTAACTGGAAGATTTACAATTCTAAGCAGTACTGCTGGGTAGTCACACCTGAAGGTGTCTTCAGACAGCTAGCATGGAGCAGATGCATTAGAATAAAGATGTCCAAAACCATGGGTTGTTTGGGTATGGTGGTGTGGTGGGTTTTTTTAAATTGACCAACAAGGTAGTGCTGAGAAGAAAACCAACACTATGATGAACTCAAAAGATCTGAACTGCACCCTAAGGGGCTGGTGAGATCCTACCACTTGCAGCTTTCTTCAGTTTGTTGGTTCATTGCCAAGCAGCATATATGACCGAATTCTTGGCTTCTATAAATCATTTCTGCACAATTACCCTAATGGCAGTACTTCCACAAGAACACTGGCTAGGGACTTAGCCTATTAATGAGAGGCAGTAAGTGAATATAAAAATCATATGTCTTGATTTTTGTGCTTTCTGGCAGGAAAATTTATATAATAAATACCAAAACAGCCTCCCCAGGAGTCTTCGAAGTCAGCCTGGAACCCAGTCCCTGGGCTCAGGCTGATGGGCGGCCGCTGACAGGCTCTGCTCTGCAAG